AAATGGAAGTGAATTAGTAAATTAGACTCAAATTATCAAATTTAAAAATTGCATTAAATAATTATTAAAATTGAGCATTAAAGAACTGAGAAAATTAATAATTTATTCTGTCATTGAGCTGACCAGCAGGCCCACCTCAGCCAGACACTGTGGGCTCCTGCTTTCTACTCAGCCAGTTCACTTAGAGCCCACAATGTTTAGACCAAAGAATTTTCTTCCAACATTAAAATGTTAGAAGAAATCTACCATTAGGCCTGTGAACCAACAGGTGTTTGTATGTCCCTCTGACCATCTACTTGCTGAAACAGAAAGAGCCTTGGGTGTCAGAGGATCATCACTACACACAGGTCTGCTTCGGTAGGTGAGCTTCTCATGGCACAGTAAAGTCATGGCACATTTTCCTTAACAACCAGCCTTTGTTTTTGAAGAAGCTAACGAGCTAAACATGAAGCAGCACAGCTCACATTAGCCTACAACACAGTGTGGCTACATTAGCTAACTTCCAGGGCTGCTACTACGTGTAACGGATAAAACAGGAGTTTGTTTTGGAAACATTTGTTTGGGGTTGTCAAAGAAGACAAATAGAAGAGTGGGGGGAATGGAGCTAGGTTCAGACAGCCAGTTTGTAGGCGACTGGGCTGAGAATGGACAAGAATGGGCTGAAGGAATTGAGGATTCAGGTAGGGAATTTAGAAACATGGAATGTTACGGTAGTAGTGAGGATTGGTGTGTAGTGGAAAAGGGTAAACGTAGACTGATGTCAGAGTCCAATTCATCTGATGGGCCTGAAAGTGAGGTTCAGGGGGAAAAATTATAAGAAGAAAGGTGGAGTTCAGGGTGGTCATTAAGTTGAGTCAGGAAGGGGTGTCCTTCATTGAGTGGAACCCCATAAGCTTGACTAAAAGTGTGCATAAATTACTGGGCAAAGTAAAAAGTATGTGAGTCGTGAGAAACAACGTCTTAATTATATTTTGCTTGGACACAACCCAACAGGAAAAGGCTACAAAAGTTCATAAAATAGACGGTAAAAGAGTGCAGTGTGTTATCCCACTGGAGGATTAAAACATAAAAGGGGTGATAAACTGAAGTGCCTACTGGTGTATCTCTGGAAGAAACTAAAAACAATCTGAGGGGAGGTCAGGTCACGGATGTTAGAAGACTAAAAACTGTTAGAAATGGTGAAGTTTGTGATAGCCTGCCAGTCTTGATTAGGTTTGAGGAAGAGAAGCTACCAACCAGAGTATATTTAGGGTACTTCAGTTAAGAGGTTAGGCCCTATATTTCTCCACCACTAAGGTGTTATAAGTGTCAAAGGTTTGGTCATGTGGCAGCAGTGTGCAAGGGAAAGCTAAGGTGTGGGAGATGTGCAGGAGAACATGAGTATGGTAAATGTGAAAAAGATGCTAAATTAGAGCGCTGTAATTGTGGAGGTGAGCACAGTTAACCATATAGAGGTTGTGCAGCTAGCAAAAAGGAAGCCAAGGTGCAATATATCAAAACTACACAAGGAGTAACTTATGCTGAAGCAGTTAAGAAAGTCACTAAGCCGCAACTCTCCACATGCCAATCAGTAAATTGAATGGAGATAAGAATCAAAATGCCCATTGCCATAATATACCCAAGGACGTCCCTGATAGTGGACAAGAAGGACTTTGTACTCTTTATGGTAGATGTGATTAAGTGTGCTGTGCAGACTGATAAAAGAACTGAAAGAATCAAAATTATCATTAGATCTGCAAAGAACTTTCTAGGACTAAAGGGGTTGCACTGGGAGGAAGTTAAGGAGACAGGCTCTAGTAGGGGCTCATAATGATAGTTACTATCCTTCAGTGGAATGCTACAAGTCTTATTGCAGATGGGCTGGAATTCAAGAACTATTTAACAAAATTACAATACTAACCACAGATATTGTGCATTCAAGAAACATGGCTGAAAAAACAATGGGATTTTGTTCAAGGATACACAGTAGTTAGAAGGGACAGAGATGAGAGAAACGGTGGTGGAGTGGCTACATTTATTAAAGATGGTCTAAACTATAGTACACTATATATGAATGTAGAATATGAATCCATAAGTGTTAGTATGTGGTTGGGAAATAGTAGCCTTCCAGAAAACAGGCGATTCTTTCATATTAAGGGACAGGATGTCTCTGCTTATGAACACAAAGTCTGTACCACTGAAGGAATACTGCCCCAAAGAGCCCAGACGCCAGGACACAACTTTAATATCAAGTGTGATTTTATGAGTTTTATTTAATCGAGTCATGAATTTACACAGTCTAGATCAAGGAATGAATTTTCAGATGTTCTCTCAGCTGAGTTTCTGGCTCATATCTGGATCTAAAGCTGTGGACTGCTGGGAGGAGACAGTGTCCACATTGTCAAATCAGTCTCAGTTCTCAACATGTTTACACCGCCCACAATACAGTATGTTTATAGGCTAATTAATGTTGAGAGGGGCATGTTTGATAAACTTGGGAAGGGACTTACAGTAAGTGGTCATGGTCTCACATCCCAGTCTTAAGAATTAAAAACAATTCTCTTGCAAAGAAACAAATTTTAGAGAAACAAATTTCAGAAGAATAGTTCTACTTTTGTGAAAATGTTATTAATTATTAGGCCCTATATATTTTTAAAGATATTTCTGATCTCCTAAAATCAAAAGCATAGCGGGGTAGAAAGGGCTCACTCACTCTCAAAATGCTTTTATTGTCAGTTATTCCTGAGGGGTCAGTCCAGGTCACTTAATGAAATGATCTGAGTTTACATCTTATACGCAAACAAACACACCATCAGCTGGTCCTGCACTCACATGATCAGTCTGGGTCAGACACAAACACCAGTTTCAGGTTCCTTCTGTGGTTTTACCAGAGAAGGGCTGTGAACTAGTGTGTGAGGTACCTCTAATCATCTTCTTCTCTATCCGCAGACCGCACTGCATCATGGGTATCTCTGTGGTTTTTAAGATGCTGAGTTAAGATGTTTTCTTGCAGAAAAAGTACTCCTGAAACTGCAGAGCAGCAGGTTTCATCAGTAGGACCAGTCACATGGATGATGACATTTAGTCCAACATAGTTTCTCCAAGAGTTTGATATATGCAGACATAAGCTTGACCTCTGTAAAGCTCACAGTAGACTAGTATTAATTTCCAAAATTTTACCTTTTCATGAGGAAAGACACAGAACAAACCCACTAATGTACAGGAGTAGACATCATGTCACTCACAGTACATTTCCAGCATTGCTTTGTAAATAAATATGAATTATTGGGGGGGGGGGGGAAAAAAAAAT